CAAAGTTGTAAACATTAAAGTATTTGCTTCATACTTGATCTATGACAAAGTTGTAAACATTAAAGTATTTGCTTTATACTTGATATATGACAAAGTTGTAAACATTAAAGTATTTGCTTCATACTTGATATATCTATGACAAAGATTTTTTTCAATTTTCAATCCGTAACATAATCACAAAAAATTCTTCTAAAGACGTTGAAACCTGATTCTGAACGTTTTAGAAAATATGTTTATATTAAGGTTAGGAGGCTGCCACTACAATATCAAATATAAACCATCTTAACTTACTTTCCTCGGTCGGAAGTTTAAACTGATTAGACACAACTTAAGTTCAACTTAAATACAGTTTTATGAATAAACTTTAAATGGATTGTTTAAAAAATTAAAATACTCTCACATTTTTTATTGGACTAGTTTGCGACGACTCCTTAAAGGAATTGAGTCTTTACAACAAATGCCAATTTTTTAATCACTGTATCTCCATAACCATTTAATGTAAAGCTTTGATATTTCAAACTTAGATTGTTTGATCCATCAGAGTTCATAGGTTGAAATATCTAAGGTCTACGACATCATCGAGTTTTAAAGATATAGGGATGAACAAATCTTGAATGATTCAACTTTTCAATTTGAAAAACACAAACTGTGGGCATTGTCTATACTCTATATGTCATGCATGTAAAACAATAATTGTATTGGTCTTAATTTTTTTATTTTCTATTTTCAGACGCCTATTTGTTTAGAGCTAGATTTCACCCTATAAATTCAAATAATGGAACAATCCCTTAAATTACTAAATAACTAATAAAATTACAGCCTCGGCCCCGACTAAACTGCCTCTGTTCCATTGATTTAATCCTGTTATCTGATCCTACCAAGGAGTTAGACGGTCTAATATGTCAAGTCACTTTAAAGGCACTGTCCACGTAAAGGGTTACCAATAAAGGATTAGTCTGTAAAGGCAATTTTCAACACTTCAAAAATTACGATCCCAAATTTTAATTTTGTCTTCTGCCCATTGAATTTGGTCTTTAAATGGCTTATTTAATGATTTGGCAAATAAAGAAAGAAGTTTATAGTATTATACTATACTTTCGGGGTAATCCTGTAAATTGCCAATGAGAACTTTAATTATACATAATGATACATTCATTACTCCTCGTAATTTAAAATGATTCTCTTTTCGTTAATGAGTTAATTCACGCAGTACCCTTCGAACCATTATAAGTTGATAATGTTAAATATATTTATCAGATTATAGCAACGGCGATATCTTCCAAGTTTTAAATCAGAAAAAAGGGCGGAATGTAACGGTTTAAAAAGAAGATAACTTAAAAATACGTTGTTAGTCCCTTTAAAGTTCACATAAACAGAGAACCACGGGATACCAGACCAGAAAGGGCAACACAAGATGCCATCTTTTTTTATTAAACTCTACAAGGTTCTCACCATCTTTATATCGTTATAATTTAAGTAAGACGACTTTATAAGATCTAGTTCTTAGATTAAGGACAGACTTTAACATATTTCCTAGTTTACGTGATAAGGTTGATCTGCACCGGGGACCCTCCCCTCCCCTCTACTTACCTTCTGGTTGCTAAAGGAACCCCAACAGCAGAACTGTCCAGTGATAAGAGATCACGACTTTTAGACCTAAATTAACTCACAATTAAAATTTGAAATAATGAAAACAAAAATAGTTGAAGACAATTTTATTATTGAAATTTTACCTAACAGTAATATTTTTAGGGTTAAAGTGTCCAATGCAAGCAAGATCTACAAGGGCATGATCACCTTAACAAAAAATAATGTATTTTAAAATTACTAAATATCTTAAAATAAAATTAGTAGATGGATTTTAATCGATACAATTTGTCCATGATTCATGTGAGGCAATGGGGTCATTCCAGGTTAAAAAAGGTATGAACATACAGTACTATCGAGGTTGGGCCGTTTCTTTAGCACACACATTTTACTAAAAGTCAAATGTTGTAAAAATTTTCGGCATAAGATGGGAAAAAAGTTCCGCTTAGCACATTCAACTTACTTGACGGAGAGTCTACATCAGTTACTCGTTTTCCGTCAGCAAACACAGCATATCCAGTAACAGGAGCCGTCTTGGTCTAACAACATTCAAAATTAGATATTTTGAAATTTTCAAGAACCAGTATTTAATTTCTAAGAAAACCCTGTAAGGAAGATGTGAAAAATATCTTACAAAATTAAGATAACAATTTGCCAAGTTTAAGATGATGAAAATATTTTATATATTGTAAAGATATATTTCAAATATAAGATATTTTTCTAGTTTGTAATGAAAATTGAAAATCGCCCATGGATTTCTAACAAAATTGAAAAGAAAGAACCTAGATGAGATTTCATCTATACAGTAATTTATACTCATAACCTTCTTCACCTTTGGATTGTTTGTGTTAAGCGTGACAGGGATCCATGTTACCAGAATAGTCCCATCCTGAGGACCTGAATCCACTCGAACATCCATTGGAGGATCAGGCAAACCTATATAAGGGATCAATCAAATATCTGTTAAAGCCTAATTAATGAATGGATTTAATTATAAGCATTAATTGGGGATCAGTCTTTTGTCCTTCAATTGTGGATTCCTCTACAAAAGTGACTTGCGCAATACTTCTTCAGGAAAACATATAGAAATTATCAGTATTAAAAACTTTTTAAGGGGAGTGGCCGGCTATGTGAGGTAGTTGAACTGAGCATGCAGTGTTGTGGAAAACTTTTTTCTGATTCATTTGAGACATATTAAACTTTTAAAGATCTGTAAATCCTGAGTGTGAGCGCAAATTCGACGTTCACAACTCCTACTTTGGGGGTGGATATGTTTTCAGAATTAGTTTTGTTTTTATTATTAAATAACGACAACGAAAAATAAAGTAAAAGTTATACAGTAATCTAATTAGATGGTTAGGAACATATTTCTCAAAACAAATTTGTCAATAAATCAATGCTAAAATCGATTATTTCATTTTCATTATTATATTGAATTTCTTATTTTCTTTGAATTTATTCGCAGATTTCTTCAAATTCTTTAAATGTCGTCTTTTCAATAATAATTCTAGAAAATCTGCAAAAAATCTTTCTGCATAGTGAGAAAATAGAAACTAATAATTGAACAAGATTACTTATTTTCGATGATAAGACTAATTTTTATTTTCTCAACATGTTCCTATACATGACGTCTGTAGTTTATCTTTTTACATTTTATGTCGTCGTTATTTAATAATTTATAGAAAACTAATTCTGAAAACGTATCCACCCCCAAAGTAGGAGTTTTGAACGTCGAATTTGCGCTCAAACTCAGGGTTTACAGATCTTCCTGAGATTAGATAAAGGTTTCAATGATACCGTTGTGAATCGGGCATTGTCCTCTTTTCGATCATGGAGAATCATTTTGTATAGGGATTAATTTGTTGTTTAAAAGAAAGTAAACACGGTTTGATTTTACATAGTTCGTGGATCAATTATCAATCAATTAAGTTTATCAATCTTACTTCTTGTAGTGTTAAATGGAATCAAGATCAGAGATCAATTGCACAATCCGAATTACAATTGTAATTAAAAGAAAATCCATCACGTTTAATGGGATCTTTCCCTTTCCTTTGTATTTTAAAATAATGGCTTTGAAAGGAGATCATGTTAATTGGCAAGCTGTTCTTGTATTAAGAAATCTGTCACATTTGTATTTTAAATCATAGTTTAAAAATCTATCACAAAATCCGTTAGTCAAAAAACACAATGGTTCAAATTGGATGAGAAATCCAATTTTAAAACGTTGTGTTTATTTCAAAGAAGATTTTAAAATTTTAAAATATTTCTCATACTTATTGCCAGGACAAACAATCGAAAATAATATAAAAAAGTAAATAAATGAAACTAAAAAAATACCTTTGTTAAGAGTTCTGAACTCTGTGTGCGCTGAGAGTTTTTCCAAGAGGCGGATTAAACTTTTTTCATCAACATAGGGAGAGGCCTAAACAAAATATGAATTGATGACATTGTTTTTCGTTGTTCATACTACACAATTTCGCTAAGGATTTGATAAATTGTACGTAATAATTGTTTAAACCGTTTTGGACATATATTTCTCTGACGATTAAAAATCAAAATATCCTGTTAGAAGAAGAAGAAAAAGACGCCAATTATTCTATAGATTACTGATAGTTATAGCATAATGATAAACATACATAATAAAGTCTTTTACTTACTTTGATATTTTTAGCTCTAATGGAAACTTTGTAGGGTGTATTTGGGTTCAAACCTGAACATAATTTAAAATTAGCAACATTGGCGCAAATCAAATTTTCCAAGAGGTGTGGACTGTGGTGGGAGATAAAAATTCAATAAAAAATTTAAGTAGAGGCAAGGAATATATTTTTTAATCTAAATATTTTTACTACTTCTAAAAATTATCATAACTGTCACACAGATAAAAAGTTAATTTTTTTGGAGGGGGGGGGGATAGATTTGCTGCCTTTTTAAGGGGAGGGGGCTTCTTTAGAGGTGGAAGATATCTGCTTTTGTATGCGGGGTGGGGGGAGCGGACGTATAGGTACCCAATTGGTACCTGGTTTTGTGTGGGAGGGGGGCTTGTATACAAGCCTCCTATTGTAATGGAAGACCTCTTCTACTTTAAAGGGGGGGCGGTAAGGTACCTGCTATTGTATGTCTATAAACCCCAGGTTTCACAGTTCTAACCTCAACACCATTCACAGAAACCTTGTAATAGAGATAATTAGTAAAATTCACAAAAATCTTGTAATAGAGATACATATTAAAAACTGTTTCTCTAATTTTGTTTATGTTTTTCGAATGTTTCGATAATTTTTTTTTAACTCACCGTGTGCTGGAAATTTGAGTTGCTTGGAAGCCAGGATATAACGGCAGATGTAGAAGTCACATTTGAAGCCTAAAATTTCATTTACGTTAGTTATGCAATGCTTCATGCAAGGAAAGGAATGCTGAAAGCTTAAATTGTTGGTAATAGCTATTAGCTAATCTTTAAATGTTAAAGTGCCATGCACGATTCACGGCTTTTAAACTTTTCAGCATCAAACAAATTATATCACAAACGATCAGATATATTTAATTTTAATTTTTCGAATCTATTTTTCTTCAAAAATAACAACTTTCTGTGATTTTACTATTTGAGGTTTGGTTAAGCTAGATAGATTGTTGCAGGAGGTTGCTTATTTTTTTTTTTGGGGAGGGGGGGGGTGTCACCGTACATATAATACGAAATTATTAGTTTTCATAAAAAAAAACCCTACCTTGACACAACTTGGTCCTAATGGAGCATCCTTCCCAATAATCATTGTGCAGGCGGCATCACGTGATGTTCTTCGGTTGATTGTAACTGATCTTACGCTGATTCTGTGCGGCTAAACAAAAAAAAACCGTAAATTTTTTGCAATTTTATGGGGTTTTACTGCATAGTAAAGACAAAAATAAGATAAGAAATTGACTTAATTTCTTTTCTATACGATTTTTCCTTTTCAAGTTACTGAAACAATATTAACACAAGGTGTTTTACATTCTTTTGAAAAAAAAACTAAACATAAAAACAACACCAACAGAATCATAGCTTGATTTTTTTGGTAATTTTTAACAACTATATTACATTATCAAGTTTTTAAAACTAATTTATCATATTTCAAATGCCAATTTAGCAACAAAATTATCAAGCTGCTGGTACTTTCATTTCAACCCAATAGATCGCTATCCCGTATTTTACAATTTATAGGCAAATCTCTCAACTTCTCAAGATCAAAAAAAATAAAATAAAATGTTAAAATAAAAAAATAAAACTTAAGATATAATCAAATATTTACCTTTGTACTATCTACTCCTTCAACTAAAGCCCTCGTTTTGTCTGTAGCTCGTACAGTGGTCTTCAGAAATCCGTCAACATATACGTGATACATTTCAATAATTCCAGGGGGGCAGTCAGGGGGATTCCAACCTATACAATACATATACGTGATACATTTCAATAATTCCAGGGGGCAGCCAGGGGGATTCCAACCTATACAATACATATACGTGATACGTTTTAATAATTCCAGGGGGACAGTCAGGGGGACTCCAACCTATACATGAGAATGATAATTTTAAACAATACATATACGTGATACATTTCATTTTTTAAAATTGCAGAGGGGGCAGTTAATTACTAGTATTATTCGCTTATTAACAATTTTTTAAAAGTTTTTATATATAAATAATATTAAGAAAATAAAAAAATGTTTCATATATTTTATTTTTTTGTATGAATTCTACTCACCGATAAGAATACTTTTGTTTAATTGTCTTTCAAGCGTAAGTTGTTTAGGAGGGGGAACTGCACCGGCATCAGAGGGCTCTAGCAGATCATCCTCCTCAACAATTTCAAATAAAAAGTTTAACTTTTTTTGCCTTGTTTCAAAATTTCCTAATTTTCACCCTAATGGTATTTTTCAAATAAACCTAATAAAATTGGATTTTAAAGTTGTGTCAACATTTTTTGTAATTTGCTTATAGTTTTTTGATTTGTTAACATTTTTCATTGTTCAAAATACAGTTTTCTGATTTGGTTAACTTTTTCCTAAATTGTTAAAATTCTCATTAATTTATTGAACAAATTATGATGATTTTTTTTACCTTTTTCCGATTTAAATTTTTTCTATCTATCTATATTATTCTAATTTAATAATGTATTTATGATTTGTTTACATTTTTATGATTTTATCAAAGTTGTTTGATAATTTATTTATACTTTTCCGCTTGTTGAATTTTTTTAATAACATTTTTCATTACCTGTCTTCGTCGGTGATGGTCCATAAGTTCAGGGTCAAGTGGAGGTAAATCTATCTCATCGGGAGACTAAACAAAATATAATTTGTTTCCTTCTTTCTCAAAAATCCAGTAAATTTTTCGCTTATTAAACTTGTTCATAAACCATAGCACCCGTACTAACTTTTAATAAATTAAACTTTGAGAAAATGCAATAATGGATTGAGTTTGTTGAAAAAAGATGACTAGAGACGATGAAGATGTGGGATATGACTTCAAGAATAAGGAAATTGAAGTTTTCCATGATAAATGATGGATCTAGAAAATAAATAAATAACAGTCTACTACAATTCCGAAGATATCAGGAATGATAGAGAGGAAATACAAAATAGTAGAAAGCTGAGCCTCCACCAGGAAAGTTTTAACGGGTGAGCCCTTCCCCCTATATTGACAAAATCCTGTATACGCCCTTGGTTGTATTGTTTACCTGCATAAACATAGGATGCATGAGATGCTGATGTTCATCCCAGTTTTCCCCAGGAAGGCTGAACATTACATTTTAAGTTCAAATTTTATGATTATTCTGATATACAGTTTTTTTATTGCAAAAATGGGATAAATTTTCCTACAAACATTTGACTCTTTTTCATTCCTCTTTTTAAATATGATGTTTGTTGTTGTAACTAGTTTGTTAAGCTATAAGAAATATTTCGTTAAGTATAATGTTTACATGTGTTTACCTACTGCCCTACCTACTTGCCCAGGACCCCCCCCCCTGACATTAACTATATATTATGATATTTATATTGTAGAAATATATGAAATATTCATGTAATACATATTTATAATTTGATTTTATCACAAGGATATATGAATATGGTCAGATATAAAGGAACTGTTGTTGCACTGGCAAGTGTCCTTCCAAATAAAGACGCAATGGCCGATTTTCAACGATCACCTTTGACTCTGTATCTGACCAATAACTTGGAAGATGTAGTCCTTTAATCTTTTAAACTTCCTCCATCCTTTTAATGGTATAAATCCACAAATTACTTTCACTCAGACACACAATTAAAAATAATCAATTAAAAAAAAGAGTACTGAGTACAGTTGTCAAATTGACATTACATTTTATAAAAAAGGAGGGTTCCTTGAAAATTACGTTTTCAATCTCTTTAATCTCGTTACATTGTGTTGAATAGTTATTATGTTTTAGATTTAAATTTAAAAAATATTTTCTACAATTAAATGTAGATATTTAAAGTTTTCTATTTCTCCTTTCGCGGTACAACTTACAAGTTATGAATTTTAAAGAATATTTTAATTAAGTTTCAGTAAGTTTTTTTAATGTTACATACATTGAGAGTGAGAACCAAAAAACTGAGGAATAGAAAGAAGACATTTAAACCATCATAGGTATGTTTGAGGCTGTTATTAAGCAATATTCTTTTACCAGTAGCTCGAAAACCAACTTATTAAGGAAAATTGGTCTGTGTACACAGCAAACTTTCTGTGTTTATTTTACTACTAAAATTAATATCTTTAGTCTTACAGTCGCATTCCTATTCCACAGTTTCATTAGTTGATATATTTTACGTAAATACAATGCATTAAAGTATACAAATATTCAAATTATGCACTGATGGTGACCATTGCCGTTTCAGAATATTAGAAATTATGAAAGCTCTACCAAATTCGTACCAGTCTGACCCTATTCTCGTACCGTACTAGCTGGGATTGAAAAAGTAACTTTTGCTGTATCTGTCTTTTGACTTGGATTTACATGGATTTATTTTGCAAGGAGAAAACAGCCAAAAAAAGGGAGAGAAACAAAAAATAAACGAATATTTCTTATCCAACCTGTTAAGATGAGGTTCCGGTGTAATCATTCTACTCTCAGGTATATCCCTCATACTTAGGGCAAGCTCCTACAAAAAAGTTGTGATAAAAATAGTAATAATCCTTTTAGATTTAATCTGCAGAAGTCTAAGGTCGGAACTTTTGATTGAGATTGCGCTAATATTTGAAGGTCTGAATTAATCAAGGTTAATCCGTAAGAAAAAGTTGACTCTAATTAATGGCAGATTTTTTTCAAATCATTTTCAAATTGATAAGAATAAACTTGATCCATTGGATTACAAATATATGTAAGTGCTTTCTAAATGGATTAACATTACAAAAATTCCAACCTCTGTTTATAATAATTTTCCACATACAGAGAAACATGTTCACAATGCCTAAGTATTGGTTTATTGGTAGATTTTCTGGTTGAGGATACATTGTGCTCCTGGAGCTAGACCCATCCTTACCAGGATATTAGCAAGATATTGGATATATTAACAATATTTACATACATACTTACATATATATATATATATATATATATAATATATTTATATTTATATATTTATATATCTATATAATAAAAGAAGACATTCGTATATATATATGTTGCGTATAGCCGGCCAAACGGCTGGACCGATTGGGCTGAAATTTTTGTGGGCACTCTTAAGTGGCCGGGGGGTGTTATAGGCTAAAACATTGGAATTTTTAAAAAAGGAAATTAAAATTTCAAATTTTTTTTTTCACGGGCAACGCCGGGCCCCACAGCTAGTATATACATAAGTATATAAGTACGTACACCTTAAAGGTATAGAAGTGATCTCCAAAATTGACCTACCTCGTAGCCTACCTGGGGTATAGAGGTTGACCTCCTAACCTATCTGGGGTATGGAGGTTGACCTCCTAACCTACCTGGGGTATGGAGGCTGACCTACTAACCAACCTAGGATATTGAGGTTGACCTACTAACCTACCTGGGGTATAAAGGTTGACCTCCTAACCTATCTGTGGTATACCTGGGGTATGGAGGCTGACCTACTAACCAACCTAGGATATTGAGGTTGACCTCTGAACCTACCTTAGGAATAGAGACTGACATCCTAACCTACCTGGGGTATGGAGGTTGACCAATGATCTTCAGCCTCCTCTGGAGCTTGAGCTCCTACTACAGCACTTTGATGGAACTCCATAAGATCCTCTCCAACCAACCGAGTAATATAGTTTGAGGGAACATAACCCCGTCTAAATAATAAAAGTTTATTCATTTCTTATAAAAATTTAAAGGTGTTCAAAGGGATTGAGTCTTTAGCAGAAACTTTGATTTTCTAATCCCTATATGTTTGCAACCCAATTATGTCATAGACTTTAGATATTTCAAACTATGAATTGAATCAAATATTCTAAGTTTGAAATATCAAAGGTTAGCACAATCAGGTTGCAAAAAGATATGATTAGAAAATATGAGATTGTGGCAAAGACTCAATTCCTTGCAAACATTTTAAGGTGTAGGATTTATAACAAATATTTATGTTACTATATGCCTATACCGATACCAAACCATGAAGAAATAAGTTTCCTCTATAAATTTATATCTAACCTGCCGTCCAGAAGTTCCCCTTCGAGGAATCCATCATCGTCTATGTCACCCCAGACAAGAACATAATCACCAGCTGTCAACTGAAGTATTGAAAGGTTGGCATCAGTCTGTGTTCGGTATACATCTGTGAAGCTAGTGTTTGGCATCGTTATCGATAACGAACAAATAAAATTATGAACGATGGTGCAAAATTGAGGAGTGATGAATGAAGAAAATGACAACTGCACCCCCCCCCTTATTTACCTGCAGGAAAATGCTATTTTTATGTCAAAGTATATTCTTTATATTTTATAATGAAAATTGTCATATTTTTCTAAAAATACCATTAATATGTCTACAAGTACAAACACACCTAGTGACCTGACTGACCTAACTTGAACGAACAAACAAAGTTATTGAACGAACGATTTTTCTGAACGAACGAACTTGTTGGACAATCGTTAATTAAAATAGCGAATGAAAATCAAGTGAAATTACCGAATAAACAGAAAACAAGCAGAAATAAACTAGAAATGAAAGAACCAACAAATAATCTGCGCAACGGGCTGTTATTGAACGAACGATTTTTCTAAATGAACGACATTGTTGGACAAATGTTAGTAAATAGAGAATGAAAATCCATAAAATTACCGAATACACAGTGAACAAACAGAAATAAACTAGAACTGAACGAGCCATAAAATTGACAATGCAACGGGCTATAAACGGACAGTAAATGAACGATGAATGAACAAATTGAAGGAAATATCAAACGTGTCCATCACTGAACGAAACGGTAAGTTTTTTTAATTGCTAAAAATCTTAAGAAATAATTCCGCTTTTAACAATCTTTAAACTAAAGCGTAATATGCTATTTAGATATAAAAACTAATACTTGAACTCAATTCCGTTTAGTTCGTTCAGTCTAGAAATATATGGATTGATAAATACTTATTATTATCTTATATACATGGTATAAACATGACTTGATATGGAACAAGACGACTATGAATTTAGAAATCCTCTTTTTCATCTTACATATTACACTTCATTTTATGTAATTAAGACAAAAATAGAGACAAGACGAGGGCATGTTTTGTTTTCAATGATAAATTTTTTAGATACAGTGATAACCAGAAAATTCTTGAATAGGAAGACGACTTTTAGACTCAATTTATGAATTTAAATAGTCCAATATGCCTAAGATACGGCAGTTGTGTAGTGTAAACAGGTCCATTTCGCTTAATTTGTAATTTAATAAGCTGGCTAGTTAAACTATTTGCTTTGTAACAACATCAAATACATACACTTAAGTATTTCTATAAAGTCGTCTTCCTATTTTAGAGTTTTCTGGTTATCGCTTTAGTTTGGTTTATTTCAAAAGCGAGTAATGTTTTTAAATAAATGAAGTTTAATTTGTTTTAGTAATATTAGTTTAATTAACTTACTGGTAGCTCATGCTCAGGATTGTCGTTCTGTGACTGTGCAAAGGGATCGTATGTGTACCTAAAAATAAACATTATTAAAGGAATAAATTTAGATAACATTCCCTTTAAGGTGTTGAAATAAATATCAAATTCATATTTGATCGGAAGTTGCTTTTAATCGGAAACGTTGTCAATCGGGCATTGTGATTTTTGCATGAACGGTCATTTTAAATCAAACTTAAGCAACTGTTAACTTTAAGTCATCAAAGTTCTTTAGAATTACCTAAAAAATCCTTTAAACTGTTAAAGTTTGCAAACAATCCTTTAACGGTGTACCTGGCTAGATACACATAGCATCTTCCTTTTCCAGGAATCTCCAGCATGTCCAGCTTGTTAGAATCATGTAGACCATGCTGATTTATCTATACAAAAACATTGTAAAAGGGAGAGGTCGCAAATTTTGAATAATGAAAACTTGACATTTGGATTTTTTTTTCACATTTTATTTTGTTTTTTTTGATTAAATAGATTTATCATATTTTTTTCATATAAAACAAATTGTGTGTTTTAAAATTAGCTTTTTATCAATGTATCTGAACGAACATTGTATTTCTCAAAAATCCTGAATAAAAAGCTAAACTGAAGTTATGATTTGTTTCTAACATATATTACATTAAGCTTAACACTAATTTTAAAAGCATTAAAATGTCTAGTCTAATTGTAAATAAAATTTTTTTAAATAATAAAAACGTAATGAATTGAAGAGAAGTGGATGAATTTTTGTAAATAATTGTGCATATGTATAGTTTATGTAACTTAAAATGAAGAAATAATTTCATGAATTAAAGGGACCGTAAATAATGACCCTCCATGCAAAAATTGTATGGGTACCGTTGTGAATCGGTACTGTTGTGAATCTCTGCATGGAGGGTCAGTCAGATAAATAAAAAAAATAAAAAGTAGATTTTTGTTCAAATTAGCTTTTTGATTTAGGGGGTTTAAACTTTAAAGTTCATTAAAACTTCATTTTTTGATAGAAAAGTGCCCCATGGGCCTAACGTAACATTAATTAACTAATAAACAATGTAGTAAAATAACCTCATTTTCAAGGCTTCGCTCCAACATAAGAATATCGCAGAGGTGAGACTGAGAGCTCTCTAAAAAAAAGACAAAATACGTAATTTCTAAAAAAGGAAAATGAAATATAAAAACAGCTTTTTAACAAATTTATCTGAAGAACTGTTTGTCCCACATCATAATGGATTGGGATTTTAGGATGTGTAAAAATTTATGAAAATAGGATAATTAAACAATTTTAATTTTAATTTTAAAAATGGGTTAAAAAATAAAAATTCTGAACGTTTGATTATAATCAAATATTACAGATAATTAATTTTGACAATTATTAAACATCAATTTCTCTGTCACTTTTGGGAATTTTTACGATAAAAAGATTTGCAATATTAAAGTTTTGCAATATAACAAAATATTCGCAACATGTATTCGTCAAAACTTTCTTTCGTTGAAGAATTATTACTCTTCAAGTCAACCCGGCCGAAATACTTTTAGTCAATTTTCGCATTATGCATTTAAGAAAATGGCGGTCATTTTTAACACTTATTAAAAGAAAAGAAGTGAATCCAGTTATAAAAAAACGTTCATATTTTAATTTATTAAATTTTTTTACAGATTGGAAAAATTCCAACAATAGCAAAGTTACAGCAATTTGAAAATTGGCAAGATTAAAAGGAAACCCTGTACACGAATATTGGCCGCTCTGCAGCTATTTAGATATGTTATATTTCCTTTTGTAGGGTTAAACATTTTATTAAATTTAAATTCATCAAAATAGTTTGTCAATAACTTACCAATTATCAAAATAGTTTGTCAATAACTTACCAATTATCAATAGTTTGTCAACAACTTACCAATTATCAATAGTTTGTCAACAACTTACCAATTATCAATAGTTTGTCAATAACTTACCAATTATCAATAAGTTGTTTATAACTTACCAATTATCAATAGTTTGTCAACAACTTACCAATTATCAATAGTTTGTCAACAACTTACCAATTATCAATAGTTTGTCAACAACTTACCAATTTTCAATAGTTTGTCAATAACTTACCAATTGTCAATAGTTTTTCAATAACTTAACAATTGTCAATAGTTTGTCAACAACTTACCAATTATCAATAGTTTGTCAATAAGTTGCCAATTTTATCAATAGTTTGTCAACAACTTACCAATTGTCAATAGTTTGTCAATAACTTACCAATCGTCAATAGTTTGTTAATAACTTACCAATTGTCAATAGTTTGTTAATAACTTACCAATTGTCAATAGTTTGTTAATAACTTACCAATTGTCTATAGTTTGTCAATAACTTACCAATTGTCAATAGTTTGTTAAATAGTTTGTCAATAACTTACCAATTGCTTCAGACTGATGATGGTTACCGATAGTCTCATAAGCGGGTGAGGGCAAACTTAGCAAAAAAAACACATCAAAAACCAGAAAATGAAGGAATTTCAAGTTACGCTCAATTTAATAGTAACGTGTCCGATTAATGAATAGCCTTAATGATATATCTGAAAATTAATAATTTGTAGTTGTAGATAAATAATGTGATGTAGAAATTTAACACAAAGAGGGAAACATAATGATTTTACTTTTTCTGAATAACTATGATTTCTTCCTTATTTTTACACAAATTAAGATTACATGACTATTAAATTAGAGGCGTAACTTTTTTATTACAGGTTCAGTTGAAATTACGTCTCAATTTTTAAATTTATTTGATTTAAATTTGAACTGTATTTTTCGGAGGTCATCACGTGTGTCCATATGTTTCAGTGATCCTCCATTAAAGGAGGGACATAACCGATTCACAACGGTCTATCTAGGTTTAAAAGTGTTTAATTTTGATAATATATATGTATTTGTTTTACTGCAGTAGAAATGAGAATTCAAAATTGAAAAAAATCAGTTTTTGCAAAATTAAAAACATTGATATCTTCTTTATACTTGATTAGAGAAAGCTTTTAAGGGTGCCGTTGTGAATCAAGATGTAAATCTTTCCATAGAGGGCCACTTGAAATTATGCTTACAGTCCCTTTAAGAGTGTGTAGTCCAGTAGAGTTCGGTTGGGCTGGTTCAAAAAAATGTTGTTGATGTTGTTCCTGTAGTAAGGCTGTTGTTCATGAGTTCCATGAGACGAGGTTGTTGGCAACCTCATCATAGAGTTCAGACTCGATAATCCTAGATAGTAAATATATTCAGAGTTTAAAGGGAGGGTTCACGAACTTGAAATATAGGGCGAGTATGATTAGATTTTGAGTTAATGGTTTCTATTCAATTTTGTTTGTCAATAAGATAGTTAGTTTCTCAGACAATACAAGAACAAAAGAATATGAATCTTTCAATAAAATATTATGTAGCATTCAGTAGCGCTTTTTGAAATTTGTGAATATTTACCAATGAGACTTTAAAAGATTGTGAGCTGATGTGTAACCTGCAGGTATGAAGAGGAGAGAAAACTAACGGGAATATTAAGGATTAAAAACCGATGAGAATATGAAGGAATGATAACCAATGAGTATGTAAAGGATAGTAAACCAATGAAATTATGAAAAATTACCAGTACTTAGACTATGAAGAATTGTCAACAAATGAGAATTTAAAAGGTTATCAACCATTTGAAATATAAAGTATAAAAGAATAAGAAGGTTTGATAACAAATGAGAATATATGTAGATGGCTCTCAACTAATGAGAAGATAAAGAATTGTCAACCAATGAGAATATAAAGAATTGCCAATGATTATTTAAAGGATTCTTCACTAATTATAGTTAGTGTTGTTAACCTATTAGAATATAAAAGAGCTTACAACCATGAAAAAAGGATTGTCAAACAATGACTATATATAGGATAGTAAAACAATGAATATGTACTGAATTGTCAATCAACGACTATATAAAAATTGTAAACCAATAAGAGTATAAAGGAATGAACCAGAGGATTGAATAACAATGAGCATATAAAGGATTTCAAACCTATGAGCATATCAAGGATTGTCAACCAAATAGAATATAAAGGATTGAACCAATGAGAGTATAGAGGATTTAACCGGGAGGATTGTCATGACCAATGAGAGTATAAAAAAAGATTGATCCTGGAGGATTGTCAACCAATGAGTGTATAAAAAAGATTGAACCTGGAGGTGTAGAATGCATGGTCCGCATGACAGGTAGAGGGGAGAAGTCTGATGAAGGAATGAAGGGCGAAGAAACAGAACCAATAGTTGACCCTACTCCTCCAACCTGAAACAAAGGGGAAATCTAAACTATATTTTTTTACCCCAGAATTTGAAGCATGCCTACACAGAGCACAAAATTTGTTTATCACTGTAACTGAATTTCGGTAAAACAATTTTTTTTGTTTTTCCCTCCAACTCTTTGAAAATAATTGTTTACGGTTTGAATAAACCACTAAGTTAAAGGGACTGTAAACGTAATATCAAGTGATTCTTCATGCAAAGATTGCTATACCAAATTTACATCGCTTCCCATAAAACCTTTGTATGATCAAGTATGAATTAGAATTCCATGTTTTTGTTTTAAAATCTGTTTATTTTGATTTGTGGTTTCTCTGCAAAGTGACTTTTTCTTGCTTATAAGAAAAACTGGGGAAAAAACACTTTTCGAGTTAGAAAAATATATTATCTTCAACTTTAAGGTTTCACTTGAAATTACGGTTCCAGTCCCTTTTATCCCTAATCCTGTCAAGGGGTAGTTTAAAGGTGTGCCTGGGAGAAGAAAAGTGAGTTCTGTGCTTATAAATTACAATACAGGATTAACTACAAAGTACATTGTTACCCAGAGAACTACTCTCGTTTTATACACACTAGCAGGAGTGCCCCGCGCTGCCCGTGGAATTTCAATCTTTTTTATTTTAGCCTATCTTACCATCGTTGTAGCCACGGATTCCCTTAAAAATTGTCAGCCAATTTAGTACAGCCGTTTGGCAAGCTATAGCTAACACGTATATATAAAGCCACAAGGTTTATTTTATTTAGCAGATAACTGATATAAATATCTCAGAAAATGCTCAGTGCATATTTCAAAGGGGACTTATCAAATTGTGCTAATTAAAAGAAAGAAGCAATTTTTTATAAATCTTACTTTTTAATATCAAAAATCAAATTATAAGGGACTTTACAGAAGACCGAATTTTATGGAATTGAAAGATTTTCAGGTGGAAAAAAGGTATAATTATTTGTTGTTAATCCTGTATAAAATGGTAGTGAGCTTTAAACAAAACGAAATAACTTAAGAATTGGTGCTAAATTATCCATAGTGAATAAGTTTGAATCGATATGTGAGTACAAATCTATAAAAATTGAATGGGATAATTTAAGTCCAGATCTTTATTATCCGGGCGCTCCCTCTTTTCTTAACTTCCTTGGAGGGGTTTCCCTTAGTTAGAGGTTGGCGTTAATTTGTGTCTTGTAACAAAATTTAGGTGGCTGCAGTGTCTAAAAGGTTTATTACTTCTTGCAGTTGACACGAAAATAAAAAGGTGAAATTATTTCAGATTTGATTTACCAATCGGATATTTTAATATACATGAAAGATCTTGAGGTTAATCAAACATGAATGATTTGTCTAGCCTCCATACATGTTTAAATTATCATATAATACATTATAGTGTGCGCTTTAACTTACTTTCCCTAAGAATCTTACATTGCCCTAAAAACACAAGGTTGAAAAATTAAATTTGATAAAAAGATTATTACAATATTTAAGCAAAGTACCTTAAGATACATAAACTTTTTACCTAAACCTTCAAAATTGAACCAAGGTCTAAATTAATGAATAGCAAAAAGAATTTGCACTACGTAGACTAGGTTGAACCCCTTCTCTTGAACTGGAACTGTTTCAGAAGAGAAGAATTAAAAATGGTCCACGTAACTAAGTTTAACTAAGAAGTCTTTTTATTCATTCAATTTGGTGCCCATAGAGGGTGAATAAATCACCATTGAAAAGGGTATTGCTGTGTATCATTGATGGTACTCCGTTAAAATAGACATTTTTTCAACTATTTTTTTAAGATGAAAAAATCGAAAAAGGGCGGGAAAGGGTGGAGAGTGATAGATGCATAAAAATGACCTACCTCTGATCTATACTCAGATAAATTTGTGTGTTTAGACTCTAAACTAGGACTATGTAGACCTGTGAGAGAACCCTTGATGTAACTGTTCACATCTAAATTAGTATTAAGGAATAAAAAGGGGGGGGGGGGG